GTCATTTGTCTTTTTTGTTTTTGAAAAAAGTGCAATTAATACGCAGATGCTGCAAAATTTACCTTGACTCTATCACATTAAGTGCCCTGTTTGATTCTGATGGCAGGACCAAGGTAACTAGGCTTCTAGAAATCCAGCAATCTTTTCCTTTGTGTGTGGTTCCTGGACCACATTTTCCATCTAGAAATTGGAGATAAGAATACTTTAAATATATAGTTATTCTGATGGTTACAGATAATATTCTAAAAAGTCCAGTGCAGTATTTGCCATCGAGCAGTTGCTGAATAACTGCAACTGCTTTAAATTTCCATTTCTAATATGTTAAATATGTGTCTATTTCAGAGCGAACAGTAATAGATGTTTCATTTCTTTCACCTATGTAAAATACTATCTCTAAGAAAAATTGATTTAAAAACATATATAAAATGCATTTATTTCAGATGTTTAATGAGGGGCAATAAAATAAACTTTACAATTTTCAATAATGCCTTTGCAATGTGAAATACATCCTGTCCATATTATATGCGTAAAAAATACTTTCATCTTAGAAGAACAAATGAGCACATCAGCTACGTGTCATTATTACTCAGGGTAAAGATGAAGAAGTTTATACTATGGGACTGGAAATTGTTTTAAAATTCTACGATGCCAATATTAAGAGATAATTTAATACCTGTACGTATATGCCCTTTTCAGTCACATAGGTTGTATCACAAACACATTTTGATGTTGCTTGGGTAAAAATTAAAATTATTCTTTAAAGTAGATTTCAAATACACATAGTATAATGAGCAAAATGTATGGAAAATACATTAGAAAAACCTTATTTAAATCTTCGCTTACACTTACACAAAAACGTGGGAAAACGTTGAATTTATACTCGGTCAAAAAACCAGAGTGAGCTGGCTGGGGGCGACCTCAGAAGCGGCGCCGTCCCATTTGCTAGATGTGGTCAGCGAGGCCCCGTGATGTTCAGAGGCTTGGGAGCTTCAGCAGCCAGTCCGGGGTCAAGCAGAACTAGCAGCACACCGGCTGTCCAAGCCGGTTACTTCCACCTGCTACTTCTTAGGAGGGAGCCAGGCTGCATTTCGCCTCACCCGATATCTGATACAAAAGGGTGCTGTTGTGTTTTGTGTGTCTGATGGTCGTTCTTCACAACGTGCCTGTCAGTGAGAACAATCCCAGACACTGACTATATCTGAATGGCCCTTCCACACTGCAGCAAGTATGGCTTTAAATTATGTCCTGTGGAATGAGAACAACATAATGGCCCTTTCAAAATAAACTGTGATATTCATACTCATGAGCGTTCTTTAAAGCATCTGCTTTTGTTTCTCTTCATTGCCCTTTCTCCATTATCTGCTGTAAAGATAATAATAGAGAAATGTCAGAACATGTCATTTGTAGAAGACAAAATCTGTTCTTGATTTTCTATATATGTCTTCACAGCCCCAAGGAACCATGAACTTTTTCATCTTTACCTGCCTTTTGGCTGTTTCTCTGGCAAAGCATGTAAGTATAATGGGACACATAATGGCACCCATTCTTACTGAGATACATCAGAGTGAATCTTTAACTACACACAGAATATGGGGCATTAGCAGCAATGAATTGAGATTAAGGATATAACCTTATAATCCATGAGCAAATATAGTATTGACATGTCTTACACAGAATGTGAAGAACAAACCTTCTGTGAAGTGTCTTCACAGTAGTGTCAAAGAAGCTACAGTTTTAGGAAGGAAGACATCGATTTTCCTCCATCACATGATGGATTATTTTTGGAATTTTCTAGAGGAACCTCCTCCACTTCCCAGCATGTCTCTGGAAATGCAAGCAGGTCTCACCACCGTAATTTAGAATTCCAAAGTCAGCTGTCCATGAAATGACAGAATTTCACCATTCTTCATAAAAGTAGTCCAGAAACCATGATGGCAAAATATAAAAAAAAGGACATGTGACAGAGGACTGAGTTAGTAGGTCTGGATTTGAGCGGTAACTTTGTACATGATTCCCCAGTGAGGTTATAATAACATCCATGTCACAAAATAGTGAGTAGATAAGTAGATAATACGTGAAAGAGCTACACAAACACAGATACATATATACACATATATATAATATTATATATGTCAGTCTATCAGCATTCTTAGCACACTGTTCTCAGGGGAACCTGCATACCCACATCCCTCCCACCCCAACATCTCACTCTCCCATTAGGGCAGTTTTCCTTGCGGTGCTCAGCTATAACACACACCCCCATTTCTATGAGATACACACAGACAGGCATTTGTACCTTCTTCTGTTGGTACCCAATTTAAGAGTAAACCTAAAGTCAGACCCCATTTCTGATATAAATAAGCTACTTTATAAAAACGATAAAAAGGCTTCAATTATCAATTTTACAGAAATCATTGGCTTCTCTCTTAAACTCCACTAGACATAACAACCACCCTATACCTTTTGTTTTTACTGAGTAGTTGGCCTTAATCATACCTTTTAATAGACAGGTTACTCCACTAAAATTAGGGAGGTGTCACTAGTGAGTACTGGATCAAGATATTCAAAAGGACTGTGTCGCAGTTTTCCTGGGAATCAAAAGTATTGTTACCATTGTTTCCTGATTGTATTTGGAGCCAATTTTTGAAGGAGGCCCTATTCTACTATATTTCCCTAAGTAAAAAAATTAATGTCTTTGCTCTTAAGCAGTAGAGGCAGAGATTCAACTTGGCATTTTAAATAAGCCATAAAAGTTAAATTTGTGTTTGTTTTTGTTATTTATATAGGAGGTAAAGAACCTCTCCTCCAGCGAGGTAAGGCGCATTATTATGAAGACAATTCCTGGCTGCTAATTGCACACCATATGTACTGGGATAATCATTCTCATTTTTGTGATCAGTAACACTAGGGCTATAGAATAGTGAAAAATTTGAAGTGTAATCATTGCTAAATGATTTGAAGAGAGTAAACCTAACTCTCTGCTTCCACATATGCTAAGATTATACCTTTTTCACTGACTTCTCAAATAGCAATCCAGTAATTGTGATAATATCACAGTACTAACAGTGAGCACTCTGTATGTAGTGAATGCAGTGACGGAAATCTATTTTATCTACTTCTGTAGTATGAGACTCACACACATTTGAATCCATATTAAGTGCTAATTTTTAATTGTCTTCTTGCCCAGGGATATATAACAGGGGCACAAAACTTCTTTAAAGTCACTCAAAGAATTGCCCTGTTCTCCCGCGATGTATTTCATTTAATAACTAAAGAGACAAAGAAAGAAAAATAAACGATGCAGAGGACTAATAAATTGTTCCTTTCTCCTCTGATGTTGGTATTTGTAATTGGATTATCATGTAGGTAATAGGAGAGTGCAGAATAAGTTACTTAACTAAAATATGATGAGCTATTTATCTAAGGAAAATGAAATTTCGTTGAAATTCACTCTTTAATTCAGTCAAAGGGTAGTATTTTACCTTGAAATACTGTATAATGAGTGTGATTTGACACTTCCCTCAGAAGGATGAGTGAAAAATCCATAATTAGAGAATAAAAATGCACTATCAGACGGAGGGGGAGACGAACCATGAGAGACTACGGACTCTGAGAAACAAACTGAGGGTTCTAGAAGGGAGGGGTGGGGGGATGGGTTAGCCCGGTGATGGGTATTAAAGAGGGCACGTACTGCATGGAGCACTGGGTGTTATATGCAAACAATGAATCATGGAACGCTACATCAAAAACTAATGATGTAATATATGGTGATTAACATAACATAATAAAATAAATAATAAAATAATTATTATAACATATTATAACATAACATAATAAAATAAATAAAAATGCACCATCAATTTCTTTTTCTAAGGAATCAGTCAACATCTCTGAAGAGGTAAGCCATAACTCTTTTCATTAAAGGCATTTTAAAGTGAGTTTTCATTTTTATATGACACTAAAATAAATATGACTTTTTGCAGGAATATAAGCAATACAATGATGTGATCTTCCAAACTAGTCCGGTAAAATTTACTCATTAATATCTTTTTGCTTGATACCTTTTTTATCAATTATGTCATTTTCCCTTTTGCTCATATGAGTAATGTTTTTTCATCTCTGAGTTTGAAATAGATGATGTTTTCATTGCCTTAAATGCTGTGAAATCGTGTGAAAAGGATTCCAGGAAAACATATTTGTGTTCCATTTGTGAGCCAAGTTTTCAATAATTCCATTTCTCTAAAGGAGTTCTTATATACGGTCCATCACCTTCCTTTCCACTTCCTAATTCGGACTTTTTTAACTATCATTTTATTATATGAGCATCACTTTCTGCTTACATAGAAATTACAGAAAAGTGAGTCTCTCTTGAATTAGGGTTTAGATTGCTCTGATTTTGTTTGCTTTCAGGAGGATTCTTGCTCTAAATCCTATTAAGTATAATATCTTGATTTCAAATCTGACTATAATGTGCAGTGTAATATTACTTTGAATAAAATTAAAATTTACTATCGATAACAAATGTATTCAGTGCCCAGACTGTACGAAAAGGAAGACAAAAAGATGCACTTGTCTGAATCTGATGACTAATACAACCAAAGACTATTTATTTATATATGAATCAACATATCCAGTAAATACTTCTCCAGTTAGTTCCCACTGGAATAGAGACCTAGAGACCTGGTCCTTTTGTGATTTTCATGAGTGAGTCTAATATTTTATCGTTTCTCAAAATTAACTCTTTCATGATTAAATAAATTTGCTTTTAATTTAAACTCACTTTAGTTTCTACCCAAGTCACTGATTTGATGGCTTAATATATGTTAAAATAAGCATGTAGTATAATAAAAGCATGAGGAGCATATCTAAAGTAACTACTGATATTCGTTATTATAATTTTTTAAAATTATCCATGCACCACCTCTTTGAATTTTGTCTATTCGTTCATTCATTTAGCAAACATTTATGAGTAAGAAGTATGCCCCACACACTGTCCTAGGCTCTGGAGTGCAACAGTGAATACAGCAGATGAAGTCTATTTCTCATGGTGCTGATATTTCAATTTACCACTGTTGCCAAATTTGTTACCAATTGGGAAATTTTTATCTATTTCATACAAAACTATAAAAAGAAGATTGAATTGCATTTTTATGCTGCTCTCCACGGAAGATAGGTTTCTTTTTATAGTCAGTGGAAAAATATTATAAACCATATGTGGGAACAATATGCTTAATTCCTTTTTATTTAGAAAAGAATAAAGAAGATAGATAAAATTTTGAGATATTGTTTTCCTATGAGCTAAAATTAATTGACATTATTTATACCTAATATTTATAATTAACAGTAGGTTATGGACTGTTTCTCTCTTAGTAAACCAGAAAATAATTTTTATAATGCTTAAAATTATCACTTCACCCTCTCTGTATTAATTTTAGCCCCATAATTTTCCCTTATACTCATGAAGGAGATACTATTACTTAAACAGAAGATAATGTTTATCCTTCCCAATAGTTTACCAAGGTGCTTAGCAATAATTATTTATAAAAATTGACTTAAATGTTTTATTTCAGTACATTTCGATGTTTCATACTAATGATCAAGTAGGTGATTAATATGGAATATATATAAAGTAACTATTAATATTCCAAAAATAATAGTGAAGATTCTATTTCTTTTTGCACCCAATATGTATAGTTACATTATTTTTTAGTATCTCAGGAATCTTCTAGCATTTCATCTACTGAGATAAGATACTGCTTATTTTTATTTTTTTAAAGATTTATTTATTTATTTATTTAGAGAGAGAGAGAGCACAAGTAGGGGAAGGGGCAGAGGGAGAGAATCTTCAAGTAGACTCCCTGCTGAGCAGGGAGCCAACCACATGACCCGTGAGTTCATGACCTGAGACAAAACCAGGAGTTGGACGCTCAAATGACTGAGCCACCTAAGTGTCCCACTACTGCTTATTTTAAAGTCAAAGAACTATTTCAAGAAATAGCTGTTTTCCACTAAGTGGTACAGAGTACTTTGATAATTCTTAGCACATCTAAATATGCAAAGAATGTAATAGGAAAACCATACTCATTCAGAAAATCATTTTTGAGTGGCTGAAATTGACAGTCTTGTATGAAGCCTTATTTATTCTATCCTGTTCTTTCTGAAAATCTGGATATGAATCCATAGGAAATTGCATTTCAAATCAAGCTTGTGACAAATCAAGAGCTCGCCAATTGCCTTCACCACAGCCTCACTTTGGGAAACCCTCTCATATCATTTAGAGGAGCAGTTCACACAGGGTTGTCACCAGATTAGTTACATCAGTAGCACCTGGAAAATTAGGAGACATACAAATTCATAGGCCCTGCCTCATACCTATTGAATCAGAAAATTTGAGTTGGAGCTAAGCAATCTGCATTTCAGTGAGGTCTGTAGGTGATATTGATCAGGTTCAACTTTGGGAGCCACTTTCAAGGAGGTTGAGGTGAGGGTTTGGGTTAGGAAATGTGTCTAGGTCACCAGTACAAGGAACACCTCCTGTGGTAGGAAAAGCCACAGTGTGAGAGTGTTCTGAAAGAGCAGGGGGCATCTCCATGGATCATGGTCCAGAGCCTTGCACGTTGGGCAGTCTCTGGATTCTTCTAAGTCCATGCCTTGGGAAGCTTGCTTTATCTTTTCTCTACTCCTAAGTTTCAGATGCAGACTGAGTGTCTTGGGCCATATCTGTCATTGCCACAAACAGCCACTAGGGCTAGCTTCCCACAGAACTCACCTGCTCTATTTTGCTATTTTTGGTCACCTGCCTACTCTCTGTCAGCGTGAAAAATTGTCAATTTAGGATTGATAATGTCTTGAAATGAGACACATTAATTTTAGTCATGTTATGTTAACATAAAATGAGAGAGAGTTCTGAAGATAAATATTTTAACTTAATTCCTAATATATACTTGATTTCTCAAGCTAGTGGCTTGGACTCTGACTAGTCAAATATGGCCCCTAACTTACTATCAAATGATTTAGAGACAACTAGTGCTAATGCTATTTAAATAAAGCTATTTCTTTATTTGTCACTTTAGGAAACTGCTGACATCCCCACTGATGTAAGTCAGTATTACTGTAAAAAATTAATAACATTAAGTAATAGGATTTTTCTTGTCTTTGTCCAATATGTGCTTTGTTTTCCAATAGAAAACGGAGCTGACTAAGGAAGAACTGGTCTACCTCAAACAGCTGGTAACTTCTCATACAATTTATTACTTCAAGCAAAGAGTATGTTTTACAACTCTTTTTCTCCCAGATGATCACGGATTGTATCTTCTCAATGAAATAGTTCACAACAGATTTATGTTAAAAATTACTTTTTCTATTGTTGTTACTGTGATATGTAGGTATTATCTTTTTTTTTTTAAGATTTTATTTATTTATTTGGCAGAGAGAGACACAGCGAGAGAGGGAACACACGCAGGGGGAGGGGGAGAGGGAGAAGCAGGCTTCCCGCTGAGCAGGGAGCCCGATGCGGGGCTCGATCCCAGGACCCTGGGACCATGACCTGAGCTGAAGGCAGACGCTTAACGACTGAGCCACCCAGGCACCTCCTGTAGGTATTATCTTAACAAACAGACCTTTTAAGGAAAATGAAAAAGTATCCAATTAAATTTGGAAGAGTTATAAGCCTCAAGGAGAGTGTTCTTAAGTTTAAGTGATCTAACTGAGATACCAGTATAGTCCAAAGCACCTAACTGCTCACTGAACTCCTCTTTGAAGTAGCAAAAAAATTGATATGTTAAGGCAAAAAGCCCCTAACTATTATTATCCCACCTGTATGAAATCTGGTAACCCATCTCTGGAGTTAGATGATGTGTAAAGTATTTAATAGAATCCCTGATTCTAGTACACAAAAATAGGAACCAAAGGTACCAAATACTATTGCATTTATACACATAGGAAAAATAAGCTCTAAATCCATTTTAACAGGAGCTGCTTCTTATTGAGCATTTAAAAACAAGATCTCTAAAATGAAACGATTTATTTTTAGAACATTCTAAATGCTCTAATAGTCTTTCTAGATTTTAATAACATTCTCTCTTTATATCATTCTTATCATAATTCATAATTATGTGTCCACCTAACACTTATCCACATGCAATTCTAAAAACTTATTACATTGACTTTAACAAATTGACTTTCTTAACATCAGTATGAACTAAACATTTCCAAGAGTTAAGATGCTGTGTTAAATGATTTCATCTTTAATTTCTGCAGTCATCTGTAGTCAAGCATCCATAGCCTAATCAAAGTAGGATTTATTCAGCTAAATTTATGTGACATGTAGTATACAAACCATTCTACATATATCAATGCACTAAAGGGTCGCTTCAACTCTAAAGGGTAAGTGATGTTCTTAGAGTCAAGGGACCAGCTGAGGCTACGAGTTGTCTCTGATTCCAGTCTGTAGCAGCCTTAATCAAGACATGGAAAAAGAAATGATAAACTTGTTCTGTTTTTTTTAAATACTTTTCCACTTCCTTTCTTACATATTCTTTTCATTTTTTACGTTCATTTCTTTTCCTCTGTAAGCCTTAATTAGCTAGACTACATCTTTTATTCTGAGGTTCACTCTATGAATGTAGACACTGTGCTAGTGAATTTTATATAAAAAATGTCTGTTGCTTGGCCAATTTGGCATCATTTAGAGTTCTTCTAACCAAGGTTTTAATTCATTTGGTTTTGCCCAGTTATCCTCTGGCCTGTAGAAGATTCCATTCTGATGCTACATATTGATACATTTCTTTCATTTCAGAGCAAAATCAACCAGTTTTACCAGGAGTTGAACCTTCCCCAATATCTTCAGGCTTATAATCAATATCACTTAGTTAGGAACCCATGGAATCAAATTAAGATAAATGACTATCTTCTGTTTCCCCTTCTGGTGAGTTCTACAATTTTGTTTGTTTGTTTCTTACTTTCTTGTGAAAGGAAAAAAAATTAATGAGAAAAAAAATGTTTCAATCCCTTCAAATGTAAAAAACAAAAGAAAATTAAATATTTTTTAGGTCAGAAATGAAGTCACAAAACATGTAGTCAAACCACTATAGATATGGCTCTATTAACACCAATTATGAGTCAGGATAAGTTGAACTGTCCTAAGTATTCATTTCTATGTCATTCTACTTGAATCTGACAGCTGTCTTTGAGGGAGGCAGAGGGAGAATTTCATCTCCATTTTACAAGCGGAACTGAAATTAAAGAAAGGAAATCTTTGGTCAAAAGTCCAGTTAACATCTCCACTTTGATTTGTAAATCATCTTTGGCTTAGGGGACTTTTCAAACACAAGGAGTAAGTGGCAGAGCAGGACACTGAACATAGGAGCAGACACTTACTTGTAAACAATATGAGATTTGGAGTCAGAAGTCCTGCAATTGAGTCTCAGACCTGCCAAGAACAAGCTATGAGACCTTAGGTATATCACCTCCCTTTCTGTGCTTCCTAGAATGTGAATGGTTTTCTTAGGTGGCCCACGGAGGTTAAAGCCACAGCCACCAGCCACCATCAGGGGAAATAAGCTTTTGTATGTTTGGTTTGAATGCTGCACGCCAACGGTACATTGTCAAAATGTCAAATGTTTTTTTCATCTCAAATAGAAATGCTTTGAAACTTTATCTAATATGTCCAGAAGAAGGCAAATTTGGGAAGCAAAGACTATAGATTATGTAAATCTGAGCTATTTACCAAGAAATAAAGTAGTGACCCTGTCAAAAACGGGATGAGAAAATCAGCTAATTTCGATGACCTTTTCTCTGGGTAACACAAGGAGACTATGTAAAGTCATATGTCAATATCAGGAATTTACCTGTTTACATGTGGGAAGAAACTTAATGATTTTATTGTAAATAAAATAGCTATATACATATAATATATCAATACTATTATAATTATGATTTTACAGAGAAAATATGATTAACCCTTTAGCTGTAAAGAGTAAGAAACTATACCATCTCCTCCCCTGACCCTAAAATCTACATCTCAGAAGCTCACCATTTACCTAAGGGGCTCAGAATCTTTACTGCTTCATTTGTTGCATATCTTAAATACGTGTCCTGGCAGACTTTGGTGTCTCCTTAACATTAAACCCTATTCAGCAGTCAAGCTAAGGTATAGAAGTGAATATGCTGCATATTCTATGTAGGAAAAGAGAAGGAAGATACTTCAGTGATCAATTTTATACACGGGACAACAACTCCTTCCCCCTAGACTTTACTAGTCTTAACCACCTTCTTCTGTATCATTTTATTCTGTAGGTGGCTTCAGTCATTCCTTTTAAGCAACACTTTTGCTTAGCTAAAAAAAACAACAACAACAAAAAACACAAAACTGCAGTCTCCAGCAGGTGACACGTATATCAGTGCTTCTGTCATGGTTAGAATTTTATGTCAGTCATTTATGTCAAGATAATGCTTTAATGTTCCAAGTTTCTCTTTGATAGAGAACACTTGAACAATATTATATTTTCAGCATTTATCATAAATCTAAGTATGTATTTCTTTACCTGAGAAACACATAATTATGTTAAAATAATGTATACTATATACTACATATATACATATATACTACATATATATACTATATATATACATATATACTATACATATATACTATACTATACTATATACTACAATATACAATGTATGTTGTATTTCCACATATAGCATTATACAAGATGTGGCAACTTTTTAATAGCTACAATAGAACACTTAAATCAGCCCCTAAATATAATAAGCACATTAAGTTAGAACAATAATTTCTTTCAAGTACAGTTATTTGTGTATTACTATGATTGGAAAACACAAGAATTTGGCAAAGAAAACCCAATTCAACTAAATTCCTCCTAAAAGGTGAAGATCTCTCACGTGCTGGCCATTTCATTAGACCGTAAAATCGAAACTTATTTTCTGTTTTTATATAGGAAACAAAGTACCACTCTGCCAGTGAGGTGAGGGGCTCTCCTGTGAAGATAACATGGCATCCAGAAGCAGATATTAAGGTCTGTACAAGACTGTCTTGATTCTAATTTTTTTTTTGCATGCATCAAGTTAGGGAATTACATAAAATGAAAATAGAAAGTGTGGCAATGATCGGAAACATTTAGGGCAGCAGACTAACCCTACATATTCAAAATTAGCAAGATTTGATTTGTGTAATACCAGACCTAGCAGAAATGTCCAATACCTTTGCCTTTGCGAGAGGTCACTGAATAATACTATGACTCCAGGAGTCCTGATGCCCATCCTCAATTTTATTAAATGGGTGACAGGAATCCCAACTGGAGTGAGGACTCAAGTTCATACATTAAGTTCTAATTTCCAAATATCTTCCTACCAGTGCTACCTAAGGTGCCTAAAAACAGCCACAGCTACCTAAGGATTTGCCTTCTTTTGTTCCTCTGTGTTTCACTGATGATAAAGTGGGAAACTGCTGGGTGGAAAAATAACATTTAAATGGATAAGTGAATGAAATGCATTATTTCTCTTTTCTTCTAAGGAATCTACCAGCATCTCCCAGAAAGTAAGTCAAAATTACTAAAATTAAATCAAATTTTAAAGTTATGTTTAAATTTCATAATGGTTATAAAATATGTTATTTACATTGCTTTAATAAATCCAAGACTCAGGGGCACCTGGGTGGCTCAGTTGGTTAAGCGACGGCCTTCGGCTCGGGTCATGATCCTGGAGTCCCGGGATTGAGTCCTGCATCGGGATCCCTGCCCACCAGGGAGTCTGCTTCTCCCTCTAACCCTCCTCCCTCTCATGCTCTCTGTCTCTCATTCTCTCTCTCTCAAATAAATAAATAAAATCTTAAAAAAAATTTAAATAAATGTAAGACTCAAATGATTAACTAAATTCCTTGTTTTCCACGAGGAAAGGATATCTTACCATTTAGTGGTTTTGATTTTTACAAAATCCTAGACTTTTTCATTTATTGTGATTATATTTGCTTACCTAAGCAAATACTGGTCAAATATTTTTCCTGAAATTTACTCTTACAGAAATTTTACATAAAAACCACTCAAACAGTGATTGGACTAAATACTTCTATATACAAACACCCACTTAAAGTACTTTGCAGTAAACACAGTACCATTTAAAATGTTTCTTCATATTGTAAGTAAATTAAACTTCTGTGTATAGTTAGTTAAGAAATATGTATTGATTAAGTACTATATTCCTTACATGATTCTAGGTCTTGGGGATACAGCAATAAATAAAAGAAGGAAACAATACCCCATCTGGAGCTCACATTGTAGTAAACCACTGATTGTGTGGTTTCCATAGTTGGAGAACTCAGATACAATTCCAACAATGGAAATGAACACATTATTCTTCTTTCTTTATGGAGCATGGGTTTTCTTGTTGTATCCCAAGGTAAATTCTATAAAACTAGTAGAATGAGAATGTGTTTAACTCTTCTTTTCTTTCCATAAGGAAACCTCAGAGAAGATTGTTGATATGGTAAGGTATTTTTACTTATATACTGTTATATTAATATATATTAATATGAAATATTAATGAGGAAAGGCATACTTGCAAATTTTGTCCATTAAGAAATGATAAAACATCATTTTAATTGCATAAAAATATAATTTTTATTTGACCCCTTGATTGTATTTCCTACAATTGTTCTTCATTCTCTCAATCAAGACATTTTTATTTATATCTAATCATGTTTTCTATATTGTATATTGCTTTTAAAAATGAGACTGATTTTACAATTTTTTGAAAGACATATAATTTTCCTTATATTATTCCTTATCTTTGTCTGCCATATTAATGATCATGTTGGTAACATCAAATTTTATCTTACCACTGCTGGTCAAAAAAAGGCAATGCAGCAGATTCCACTCCTGGATTTCAGATTGTGATTAGTTTTACTCACTGTTTCAATTTCTCAGGGACACCTTTTGCAGCTCACTCTATAAGTGATACTTTCCTTTAAAGTCAAGAAGACAACTGATCCATCTAGGAGAGCACATTTTCCAGCTGTCATGCTATTTAATGGCAATTTAGAAGTCGCTAATATTTAACAAAATCACATCAAATATACAACAAAAATAAAGAAAAACTGTGTAAAACATATGCTCAACTCAAAGTTAGTGGGGGTTATAGATTAACCATCACTTAGATAATAATAACCCTTTGGTTGCATATTCTTGGATAATGCCCATTTTACTCTGACTCTTTGGAAATCTCATTTTTAAAAAACAGCCCCAGGGGCGCCTGGGTGGCTCAGCCATTAAGCATCTGCCTTCAGCTCAGGTCATGATCCCAGGGTCTTGGGATGGAGCCCCGCATCAGGCTCCCTGCTTTGCGGGAAGCCTGCTTCTCCCTCTCCCACTCCCCCGCTTGTGTTCCCTCTCTCCCTCTGTCTCTCTCTGTCAAATAAATAAATAAAATCTTAAAAAAATATAAAAATAA